GTACCCCTGCTGATAAGATAGACTCCTTCGGAGTTACACGACGGTTCGGATCCCTTTCTGACGGATAAGACCAAAACCTAGAAAACGTCTAACTTCAGTACCCTTAATGAAGGGACTATCAACTCAAGAAAGAAAATACGTACGTGATGCTCCCAGTGGACATGTCGCGTCTATCCAGAAGTCAAAAGAACTCCTCCTTGGGTAGAGAAACATTGCGCCGTTATCAGACCTAAAGCCACCGAGACAGTCTCGCTCATGCACTTGAGGATTAAGAGACCCAGTAGTAGAATGTGGAAGTAATAAGAGTTGCAAGGGGATAATGTGCACCCTACCATTTGAATTAGTGTATTAGATGGTTACAAGAGCAGAGACCTGCAAAGAGCAAGTTATCTAATGAAGAGTAAAAGAAAACAAATAAAAACAACATTTCAATGGATTTAATATATGGGCCACAACAATTAATAAATTAACCTGCGGTAATTTATGCAGACGTATATATATATATATATATATATATATATATATATATATATATATATATATATATATATATATATATATATATATACATATATATATACAGTTGATATATTTAGGCAGCAATCCTTCGTAAAAAAAAAAAGCCAACTTAATATTAACTACGGACAAGGCCACAATGTTTTTACCGTATTCGGAAATTAAAAAACATCCCTACCACACACTAAGACATACACATAACGCACACACTCAATTAAGCTGAAAAATCGAATCATCCTTGATAATGGCTAAAGGTATAGCGGAAAGCGCTCGGAAATATAAAATATTTGACAGTTTTTGCACGCTCTTTTTCCAGAAAAGAAAGCTCTTGTTCGAACACAAGAAAAATTTAAAAAAAAAGCTTAACCTTAGTCCCTTGTTGTTGCTTTTAATGAAACATGCATATATATATATATGTATTGCCTCTTTAACTGCCACTTTCACCCTCCTGTTTAATTACAAAATTACACTACCCATCAATTTCTAATCCCATTTTTCCTCTCATTTCATTGTTGGAAGTGTTACCTGATGATCCGAAATCCTTTAAAAGGATTTTGGTGAAATAAATTATTGTAATGGTACCTTAAAGTGGTCTGTTTTTCATTAAATATATATATATATATATATATATATATATATATATATATATATATATATATATATATATATAGTCCAGTAGAGTTGCGTTGCCCGGGGATGTAACAGTAGTAAGAGATAGATCAAGTATCGACCATCATAAAGACTGAAAAATAAAATTGACAAAGATTATTGTTTAAGGTTGACGGACACGCATGTCTTAATTAGTTTTTTTACGAATTGGTCAAACCCAAATTCAAACAAAAACATTGTTTACAATCGTTATGAGTCTATCGATTGGTGAATAGAATTTATTATAAACAATTGTCTTGTAAATGGAATTTTTAAAGCATTCTGAATGTAAATAAGAAAAAAGGTGTGCAAGACAATAAGAAATACTACCTGCCGAAAAAAAAGTGGATGTTTGTTTTATCGGGTGAAAATGTTAGAAATCCGATCCCATATATAAAGGAACACACACACACACACACACACACACACACACACACACACACATAAACAACCTGGGTTTTTTTTTAACCTAAGTCACTCCACGGAATCGCTAAAACATAGAGCATAGTCTGATGAAAAAAGACGCCAAAGTTTATGAAAACAAAATTTTATCGTCAAAATGCTTATGTTTTTTATGAAGAGGATAGACTAAATTTTTTTTAATTATTTAAAAAAATTTTCCATCTTTTTAGAATATTCTAAATTTTGATTTAAAAAACCTTGTTTCTCTTTGTCGCAACAAGGGTAGTAAATAACATAGATAATTTTTAGCGCGTTTTTTTGTATTTACACACATTAATTTGGAAAATCTTGCAAAAAATAAAATAATTGTCAGATGTTAATGAAACTTTCAGAAACTATTCACAGATGATCGAAATTATTATAAATATGTTTTTTTTTTATTAAAGTCATGGCAGAAATACTTTTTTTATATTTATTAACACCCCCATAACTAATTTTATGCAAAACTCTAGAAATTGAGACCATCGGTTTTAGTGATTACAATAGTTAAAAGCACAAGTCTTTGAAGAATGCAAATCATGTTTTTTTTTTTTTTTTTGTTTTTTGGCCAACGTACCTGAAAATCAGCTGTGAATTGTAACATACAAAACTCAATAAAACAAATATATTATTTAGTTTCAAATGCTTTTTATTTGTTTTAATTTATTTTTATGAATATGGACAATATTTTCTGAAAGCAAAAAAATTTTTTCAATGAAAATTGAATTTTTAATACAATTATTTCTTATTTCTTTAATTTTGAGAAGATTTTTAAAAATGTTTAAATTGAATTTAAAAAAATATTTTAACATTAGTTAAAACTTAAAAGCAACATCAACCTTTCAAAATGTCCGTGTGAGATTGTCATTGTCTAGCGCTTTGAAAATTGTATAATTTGGACCAATCAGATTAGCCATGGTAATTAAAATGTAATTTTTTTGTGTTTATAGTCGGACAGTAATTATCAAGTACGGAAGACCAACCAGAATACAATTTAGTTGCATTGTTTGAGTTCAGCATTGTTCTCCGCTGTTAAGCCATTTACTTTTGCGAAACACGGATGGAGAAGTTAATTTGAGTTTTCAATTTCAACTGAGAAGGGTACCTACAAGTAACAGTATCATCTTATGAAATTTAACTGCTGCTAAACTTTAATTTATATGATCTTATTTTTATATTAATCTCAGTTATGACATTTTTCCATAAACGAAATATCAAAATTAATAATAAAATGAATGGAAATACAAATAACACAGTAAAATGTATTAAATGTACATAAAATTATAGTATTTTATGTAAACTTCTGATAAAATTTCATAAGAAAGGTACCTAAATTAATTAGATACCTTTTTCTTATGAAATTTAATCTCACTATTAACAGTCTTATTTTTTAATTTCTTTATATTTTCCATAAACCATCGTAAACGTAAAAATGAAAGCTAAGTACAAAAAAAAAAATAAAAAATTAGAGCGCTGAAAGTTTTCCTTAAAAGTAACAAGGTAAATAATTTGTTCACTTAAATAATTTCACTTCCTTCCATCCGTAGAAAGAATTCTCATCCCGTAATTTATCTAAACGTCATGAATGTGCCTTTCGTCAATTGTCACGCGACGCGAAAGGTTATGACCTGCTTTGTTTTATTTTCAAATTACATTTTTTCGGCGCAGAAGCTAAGTTAAGCTTGGTTCAAAATATTTTAAATAAACAGTATAATTTCTGTTTTTATTAAAATCAGTTTTGAAAAAATGATAATTGATTTTTAAACGAATATCAAAGTAAGATTTTAATCTTTTTTATCAAATCGAAAAAAATGATTGAAAATGATTCTGTCCTTTTTTTTGACCAAAAAAAAAAACAATATTTTTAACGAAAATTTCAGACGTGCAAGGAACGATTAAAAAATGTAAAAAAATACCCCCAAAATACTTTGATCTTTCCTCTTTAATAATAATATGAACATTAGACGATAAAATTTTGTTTTCGTCAAGTTCGGCGTCTTTTTCATCATGCTATGCTCTTTTGTTTACATTTTCGTGGGTGAGTTGTCCCCCTTTCATTCTCACGATGTGTCTTAATCGTGTTTTCAAAATGATTTTATTAAAAAACAACTGTGTTTTTCCCATTTTCGGCCCCGTTAGATCCACCACAAGGTAATTTTATGTAGTCCTGTGAAGTTTTGTTGAAATCGGCTAAAAATATGTAGGAAATTCGATCCAACATATAAACGTTACAGACACACACACAACCTGCGTTTTATAATAAGTAAGATATATATATATATATATATATATATATATATATATATAGTAAAGGTAACAAATCCGTTCGTGTATGATCCAAGCGGCTCCTAGTAATAAAATATATTAAAACTGGTCCTTAAAAAGAGCTCAATATATTTATTAATACAAAGCAAATAATTAATACACAATAAAATCCAAAATCACTTCCTAAGGGGAATAAGCCAGTATACCCGGCAAATGCGTCACAGTCAAATATAGGAGATATGGTTGCGTAGACTTTCATGTGATTCACAGGTAGATATGCTATCAGGTCGGTTAACCATGTTCCGCTCGGAACGTTCCTAAGTTACTAGCTCTGACTCTTTGTGATGGCTGTCTCATGCTTCAGATTTCGAAAAAAAAAAAAACCTTCTCGACACCTTTCCATGGTGATTCCCAAATATTCTTGTTCATGAAGAGAGATGCACTATTCCTCAACCCCAAAATGACATACGCAACTGGTTATGGTCAGTCAAGTGACAAGCAAATCTGCGTGACTGATCGGAGATATTTATTCTAACCCATTTTAAAACAAGATAAAACATGTATTTGTGTACACCTTCAAAGAAGCCTCGAGTGCCTTTATTATTATTATTATTATTATTATTATTAAGTCATTGAATATTGATGCCAGCAGGTAAAGTTGTCTGGGGATTTGCTTTAACCCTCGTCTCAGGAATATACCTATCTTCAATAATCCTAAGGTTAGCTGCATTTCTTTTAATTTTGACTTTACAACCATTCCTTGTGTCCGAATAACTACTGGCATAACTGGCACTTTCTTGTTCCATGAGATTTAACTGTCTGGCGAGATTGAAATGCTTGATTACAGTTATAATAATTATTGCTAGATTGATTCGTTTTCTACGACTTATCAACCTTTTGCAGGTTATTTAAAGCCAGACATTATTTTTAGATTGTAAGAATTTTTTGAGGTAGTAATGATTTAGTGATACAACCCTTACTAATTAACCCATAGCTGGGAGATGGATTCATAACTTTTTCAAGGGTATTTGCGCGTTAGTGAATCTAACGAATACAACTGGAATTTGAACACTGCTTTCCGATTAACAATTCCAACTCATTATCCGTTGCACCACCCGCACATCTAAACTAACAGCTCCGGGTATTCTCAAGTAGTCATCCATCGAGGTAGTGACCAGTCTCGATGTTGCTTAACTTCGGTGATCGTACGGGAACTAGTGTTACAACTCGATATGATCGTAAGGTTATATTTGCATTGTGAATTGACATGATTTTAACAAATGACGAAAATTTGACACCGACATAGGAAGACATATTGAAATAAACAAAGACCTTCCAAAAGCGAACTATTAAGAAAAAGGAAAATATGTTTGAAACAAATAAGAGTGTCTGTCTATATTTCTGAGATGAGGTATTATGTACATTATTTAGATTATTCGGACTATTGTCCTCATCTTTGTCGCCATATTTATTACAACGTTTCAGCCGTTGCTTACAACACTGAGCAAAAGTCATAAGTGGCGACCCAGAGATATTAGATAAAGAGTTGGTCAGTATAAGTAGTACTCTACAACGTAACAACTACCCTGGGTACATGGCAGCAACCCCAAAAAACTGGAATAGGCGGGTACAAGAGGAGAACAACAACACTCAGAAACAGTCTGCCTGCCTTATGTGAAGGGGTTATCAGAGAAAATAGAAAGGATCTGCGGTCCATATAGCATCAAAACAACCTTCAAACGCTTGAGGACACTTCGCAGACATCTCTCCCGAGTAAAACCTACCATAGAGGAAAACATGACAGGCCGCCCCTTTAAGATAAGGCTTCAAGAACACCAGAAAGCTGTAACACTAGGGGAAGTGAAAAAAATCAGACATGGCTGACCACATATGGAGAGAGAAGGGAGATCACCCCCTCTGTGGGATCAGGTTGAGATCATAGACAAGGAACACCATAGGAAAATTCGTAAACTTAAGGAATCGGTACATATGCTAGGCCACAAAATTCTTCTGAGCCGACCAAGCATAGAAATGAATACAATATGGGAACCAGTAATAAGGTGTGCCAGAGAAAAGCGATAATAACAACAAAAGTTGCCATATGAGCTCTGGTAAAAACACGTAATGATAACATCAAAAATTGCATTATGAGCACTGGTAAAAAATGGTTGCTGAGACATTAGGTTTATAATACCCAGAAATTCATACATAGATGTCATCAAGGACACAAGGCGTTGGTTAGATCCAGTGACAGGACCCAAAGAGTGTGAGTTCAATACCCAGTCAAGGCAGCGGAAATCTTTCAGAGGAAAATTAACAGGAGATAACTGATAACTGACATCCATTAAATATGGCACGTGGAACTAGAACAGTCTACCCCACTGAGTGAAATAAAAGGTTAAGTTCGACATTCCAACCACCTGAACGGCCGAAACGTTCAGAATTTTGGACAATTTCCTGGCAGATGACAAGGAGATTTTAAATGGTTCTACACAAGGATCCTGAGAATACCATGGATGGTATAAAGAACTAGTTTTAAGGATCATGGAAACAAAAAAACATGACGGTTATATATAAAACTAGAAAGAGATAGTTGAAATTTCGAAAACACGTAATGAGGAAGAAGGGCTAGGAAATTTTGACACTCACAGGACAAATTGAAGGCAAATGGGGCAGATATAATCTACATAACGTGTTGGTGAAAATGGATGCCAGAGACTGGGACTGGCAGTGAAAAAATAAAAATAAAGGAGCTACCAAGAACAAGTCGAGGAGAGCTATGATCGCCTACATCCTGAAGGGACTCATTATGTAGAAGAAGAAGAAGACTATCGCCTTTCTCGAAATGTCTTTTTAATCTTATTACCTTTTTTTTTTTTTGCAACGTTTATAGCCACATAAATGTTTAGTTATGCGGCACCTCGACATGGTGTAATGGTTAGCAAGTTTGCCTCGCTAGAATATTTACGACTGAGTAGTGATTCAATTCTCAGTGAGGGCCCCCATACTGTCGGCCTTGTGTCGTATCTAAGTTACGCTTAGAAAATCGCCATAATTTTCTTTAGGCAGATCATGAATGGCCGGTTAGAAGGTGACACGCGTTGCTAGGATACGTTTTCCATTTCCCAGGTGTTCTTTCTCCATACACACACACACACAAATTAGAAAGACACACAAAAAAACAAGACGCACAGGCATACACATCCACAATAAAGCTAGCAATAACATTAGTCCTCTCCCTCCTCCTACAGATCTTAAACTTGTCCCCTCGCCTTATACGCAGAAACACGTAATCCTACAAGAATGCCACTAAAGTGACTAGTTCAGGGTTCGCTCCTCCCTCATCTATCAACAAGGACTTTTATATCCTTTCCACTTAAGGGACATTCTTTAAAAAAAAAACAAAAAAAAAACTTTCCTTATATCGCACCATTTTAGCCTTGATCTTTAAGTCAGGATTCGGAGGGATATTTAGATATTTTCTTTCCAACGCTCGACCTTCTCCAATTCAGAAATATCCAGCATGAGTCATATAATGAAACAAACTCCTTCAAAACAATGAGTTAAATGTTGTGGCTAATATTATTGGTTAATATTACCAGTTAAAAATATTATCAGTAAATATTATCAGTTAAAAATACTATCAGTAAATATTATCAGTTAAAAATATTATCAGTAAATATTATTACAGGTTTCTTCTTCTGCAGGTAAAGACACTTAATAAAAAAAAAAAATCATTCATATGAATTACTTAGCGTTAAAATCCAGTAGCGAGTGTATAAAAAGAACACATTAATAAGGACAGCACACACACACACACACACACACACACACACACACACACACACACACACACACACACACATATATATATATATATATATATATATATATATATATATATATATATATATATATATAGCTAATATTAGTGTAAATATACACATACATATGCAAAATATATAACTATATATACATAGGTGCATACACATACATGTATATTTTTGAATAAAAAAAAAAAATTCCAAGAGGATAGAATCCAGGTATAACTCAGTGTCCAGGACAGAGTAAGGATATAATAAAATATCATATAGAATATTAGTGTTTGTTTTTTAATATATATATATATATATATATATATATATATATATATATATATATATATATATATATATATATATATAGTCATCCACAGACATTTTCGCTGTATCACAGCTCATCAGTGATTAGCCGTTCGGTTGCCACTAGCTAGAATCGAAGGCTGACTGAATTGGTGTCAGTTGGAGAATCTCGATCTAAGAGGTTGGCGCACGGCATGGATGGAAGGTAAATTTAAGCAAATTTGTTTATGTATTTATTTATTTTATATATATATATATATATATATATATATATATATATATATATATACACTGAGGTCAACACTTCCAATATTTTTAAACATTTACACTCGCAATTCAGAAAAATATCGTCAAAAAATACCTCCATACTTTTTTTACGAAAAGAATAACCACAAACTAAAAAGCTACTTATATATATATATATATATATATATATATATATATATATATATATATATATATATAAAATTAAACCACGTCTCAATAAAATTAATTACGAATACTCCACAAACATATTAAAATGTGTAAAATAGTCTTTAACTTTTAGCGCTTGCCACTAATAGAATTTTTTTTTATCTACTAACTACTCAAGTCTGGAATTTTTCGGCAGCATACCTAGTTACCTCCCCTTAAACGGTGTTTTTCAACCAAGACATGACCCAGCGTTCCTGCCTCCACATATAAAAATGGTAATCTTCGGATGACCACAAGAATTTTGTCCTTCACAACTAGGAACGCTAAATAATTACTCTATATTTAACAATACTCTGATGATGACATTATACTATGTCGAAACTACTCGGAATAAATATAATATGAGCCAACACGGTGTTTTCCTCTCGTATTTTAAAAACCGTAGAAAAAAGATTATTCGCGAATATGAAAGGCTCCTATCGAAAATAATAAGAGAGAACCTGTCTAAATTATTTAACGAAACCTGTCTTTACATATATATATATATATATATATATATATATATATATATATATATATATATATATATATATGATATTATTAGTGGTAAATACCCACAAACTTTTGCAAAATATATAAATATATATACATACATGCATACACATACATATATATTTTGTATAAAAAAAATTCTAAGAGGATAGAATCCAGGTAGAACTCAATGTCCAGGACAGAGTAAGGATATAATAAAAAGGCTTAAACACTAATATTCCATGGTCATAATTTATTCCATTGGAATCGTAAATACGATCCAATTCATCATACCTACAAATTCAAAAAGAAAAAAGAACTCCGGAAATAAAAAATAAAATTTAGAGAGAGTGTTAAGTATGAGAGTGTGGGACGAATGTTAGAGCTATAGAGAGGGGTAACAGACGAGAGAAGGTGGGAGATTAAAATTTAACAGAGAAGTTTTCGAGAGAGGAGTCAAAGACGGTTTAAGTGAGAGAGTCAGTTCCAAAAATGTATGCACACTTTAGGAAAGGAAAAATTTATATAGCTATTGTAATACTAAATTTATTCAGACATCATGAGATTTATACAAGTTACATTTGAACTCTACAGTCACAACAGATGCTCAAAATGGTGGCCTTTGGGTTGCAGACATTTATTAGAACGGCAAGCTACTGCTGGGGCAACGAAGGCCAAAGTCTCCACTGGGACTTCTGCACATGCATTTGCAATTTCAGTATAATACCATCTGTCGAGAAAACTATCGTGCTGCAGTAAACAGTGTTATTGTAATTTGATAAAACTACGAAAGACAATTTTTTCCTTTCCTGAAGTGTATAGGCTTTTTTTTATCAGTATTATTCTTCAAAAAATAAAATACCATTTCAGGTGATTATATAATGGGTTCGATAGCTTTTGAGTAAAATTCCGCAGATTTTGATATGAAATCTGGTTTGCCAAGAGGATTAGCGCGTAAATCTATATAACGAACCTGAGTGGAAGTGGAACTCGTCTCTCCGATTTCCAATTCCGAGCCATTATCCGGAGATAATAATGATTTACTTATACCGTGTGTAACAGCAAAATTGCCCAAATCGTGTAACAGCATAATTATCCGCCCCACTAAATATTTAATATCTAAAAATAACACTAAAATAATTTATTTTTTCCAGGTGTTCAGATAAGGCATTTGGC